GACAATATATGAAACAGTAAACATGAACGTGGTATAAACTCATTTATCATAGCTGTAGCCCGGAGAGATGTTACATTTCTTCTTCAGTAAATATTATTCTAATCAATTATCTATAATTCTACCGTGCACATGCACTTTTCCCATTTATAAAACATATTGTCTAACTTATGTTAGCAAATTACTAATGCATGCATAATTATTTACGGATATGAAGTTAGTTCCTTTAAAATCTTTGACGGCGAGTGAATAACGTAAATTCGATTACATGTTTTAGATATAAATATGTAACATAGAAATTAACGAGGATGAATCATCTGATTACAGATGTTGAAGTTGACGTAGTTATATAAATACATTTTGAAACGTATACAAGAAACAGAGAAGTGCTCGAGTTTCCTTGATATAGAAAAAGATCTCGGCCTTATCATGATCATTAATCGTGAAGTGAGGGGCGCCACTATCACCGGCATTACCAACGTTCGCTATTCTAAAAGATCTACCTCAAGTAAAATGTTTCTTTTGAACATCCTGTATGTCGGTTTTGTAAATTTCTAAGCACAGTTCATAGCGGTGGTGTAACGTATGTATGCAAATCCAGCGAATGTTATGTAATTGTAATAGAGATTGGGAAGGGTGTCCTGCGTGGCGGACGGACCAGTTTACAATGTTGGCGCGAAAACTTTCTTTCAAGGAGCGCGAGCGCGCCAGGATCCCTGGGCAATAAAACCGAGCGGCAGGGACGGGGAAAGTTAGAGAGATAAAGAGAGAAGGATTGTGGGCATGGGCCAGGGGTTGTCGGGGGATCTCGGGCAACTTGGCACGTCCGTGTACGGAGGTAACAGTGCTGGTGGCAGCACAGACGCTCGTTGATGAGCGAACAATTCACTTTGGTGCGCGGTTTCGCGACGTTGTTTCATTCTCGTCGGTGTCCGTGAAATAGGGGTGTGCATATGCACGTACGTAACGAGGCGGTAAAATGTGTCTGTGACATTTTTACCTGTTCGCTTTTCCCAAGTTAAAACGGTCGAGTGTCGTTGCCGTGGCTCGAAAAGTTGTTAGCTGGTGCGCGCCGTGCGTGCGGTTGATCGGAGCGTATACCGCTGCTCTCGTCAATTTGGTGAGAGAGTGAGAGTGAGAGGGAGGAAGGGTTCCCCGTCTTCCTCTCTTCTCTCGCTAAAAATCGCCCGGATTTTTGAACAGGGAGGAAGGGTCTCATAATCGGCGTAGAAAACTATGGAGATATCGAAGAGTTTGCAGGAAGAGATACTCGCCGTGCAAAATAAACTGAAAAATGCCATACGCAATCATCAGGTGAGTCTCGCGGCTGTGCATGTAAGTACATGTCGATAACGATTTAAAGATTGTGACTAGAGTAAAGGAGACGAAGCAACCAGCGAACGAGTATGCTTAATGAATGATTAATTCTCCCTCTGGCTAATGATTTTTTCGTTTCTCTTAATACGCGATCCTTTATCGATTGGAAAATCGAGATAACACGTTCGATAGATAATCGACTTGGAAAGTGAAAAAGTTTTAGAAAACTTTCGACACGAGTGTCGTTTAAATGTTGTTCGTCCCGTTACGTCGTCAAATTATGTATACGCGCACTGAGCATAAGTTCATGAATTTCTTTTCGACTAATTCTTTTTATCATTTCGTTTCCTTGGCATTCCCACGCACAATGCGTGCACAGACGCATGCACGCATCAGGCACGCGCGCGCAGGCATAAATGTACACCTCTTATACTATATTTACTGAACTTGTTATTTCAATGTGAATTCTCCGAAGTTTCGTGAAACGATCATCGCGATCAAAGATGTCCGGTTCATACGGGAAACTGAGTCACTAATATGGCACATAACATGTCCATTCGATCTATTTCGTACAAGTAGATACACGCATGCATTCCTTTCACTTGCAACGGCCGTTTGTAAAGCCGTGTTCGTTCAGTTCTCTCTTCGGTTATACACAGCACAGTCGATGTTGCGCGTTATCGAAAGTGAAAGAGAAGCGTAACAACAAGCGCCGAAGGAATAATGTATGCACGCTTTCGATCATACGCCAAGCTTTTTGCATCGTTCGCCGACCATTTCTTTTTAACAACGATTCGTATAAACTCGAAGGTGAACGAGTGTCCAGACCTTAACCTTTGTTGGTAGAGTGCTTCGACCGATGCGTCGCATAACTTTGAGAATCAACGTTCCGTCTTTCTCACTTTCCGTCCCGGTCTTACCCGCTCGTTCATTCAGTTACTCACTTGTTCGGTTGATCTCCCTCTCGTTCACCCTAGAGCTGCTATAGTCCTACGCTCCTTCTTTCTCTTGTTCCTCTTGCTTCTTTTACATTATTCCTTCACGCCTAACCATTATCCTAAGCTCTGTCATAAATTCACAGTTTGGCCGTACCCTGTGCCATAAAATTTCGGCAAACTTCCCGGACCTTCAGCCCCGGACCTACGCTCTGTACTCGTTGTTATTCTCATTTTTATTTTCAACGTTAAACCTCAATGAAACGATTGAAAAACGTACAGCTGTACCGTAATATTAATACGTACATAAGTACCCTTACGCAAACCCTTCTTTAAAATCCTTTGTTCTGTAAGCTCGGATTATAAACGACCGAAAGATCGAAGTTGTCTATCGACTGGACCTGAATGTTATGCTTTCAAACAGGTAAAACGTATATCACGTATAACGCGAGTATATACAATAAATACTTATTTCATCTATTTACAACGAACTTCTATTAAGTAGCAGAAGTAGAGATGCTAAAGGAATATACATGTGCGTAACGTGAGGAAAAGTTTGTCGGCGCATGATCAGCATTCTGCACTGCTCGATCAACCTTGTCTCGCACGGCTCTTCGGAATCGAATGTTTCCGATCCGGTGCTGGCTCGAGATATTTTTTGATCTATATCACTCCGTCGATGTGTCCCGAATCTAGATCTTTATTGATCTCGAGCCCAATCGATCGATTTATTAATTGTTCTCTGTGCGGACCGTGGAAAGCTTTGAACATCCATTTCATAGCAATTCGATAAATAGCTTGTTAAGAAGTTATCAGTTAGATTATTTCGTGTTCGGGTTATTTGCGTACCAGATAGGACAAAACCAGTTCTGGATGTTTTAGATGGCTAGCAATTGTAGAAGAACAGGTGCGCAATGATAGTAATTCGGCGAATTTGACGATGTCCTAAAAGGCTGGAATATTTTATCGGGGCATATGCAAACAGGAGAAAATTGATATGCTGCATTGAATACTCCGTACGCGTTTATTTTAATAATGCGTCGATATATAAATAGGTGTGCATGTATACAATACATTTTATTTTTATTTCGAACGCGACTGCCTTCATGGTCGATACGATTTCTATCGATGATCTTCGTTTTTCTTCAGCTTTTTTAATTAAACTTTATTTCGAAACAAACGAAGATAGGGGAAGGGAACACAGGACTTTTAGTCAGTTGGAAATGTCCAATCGACCGTTCCTACCGTTGTTTGTACATATTGCCGATAGAACAGAGACACGGCGTTAAAGTAATTGCGTCATTGCGCCACAAAAGTGTTGTCGCGACCGCGTTTTATGAAAGCCTAAATAGACGACCGAGGATGCTTCGAATCGAGCATGTTTAAATCTCGTTCGTAGAGCCGCGACTAATCTCGCAATTTCTTTTTTTCATTTTCAGATATGCGTGGGCAAATTGAAGGATGACCCGAACGTAAGTCGCTTACTTTTGCTAATCCTACGGATCAATCCGAGCTTCGTAAGCACGTGATCGCGCGAGCAAACTCGGAGGGATCGTAATAACGACGCTGTTCTCGTACCAGGCTTGTAGGAAAACGAAGTCTCCGCTACATCGGTTATTTTTGGCGTTACAATTGATTTACTGTATTTAGTAGATATCAAATCGCGTCCATTTTGCAAACTTTCCCGTTCGATTGCATATTATAAAGGGCTTATCGACGTATCGATTATACGTATTTTACGAACATAATTTATGTCGCCTTCGATGAAATTATCGCGACATTTCCTTAATAACTCGCGTTACTAGCTATGCTAACATTTTACGAGACTATGATTCACTTCTACGAATCGTTGCGTTGATTACGTATTCGAATAAATCCACCGTTTTTCATTGATGACTGAATACTACGTTATAATCGTCTAGAGTCTAGACGAGGATGATCTAGACTCTAGACCATCCTCGGGTTAAGAAATGAATTAATGAGAAAATAATATTTCAGATTTTCATTTATCTTCCTTTTTTGCTCCGCGTTATCACGAGGAAAATGATAGCTAATCCAAAATGATATGTGTGCGAATAGAAATATGTTTTCTCTCGTTTTACAGAACACAGACATCCTTGGACAGATACAAAAGATCCACTTGCACATCGTGTCTTTGGGAAGGTGCCAGGTAAGTTGAGAATTGATTTTCTCGAACCGCACTCTTTCGCGATGATCCAGGACAGGGTAGTTTATGGACGTTCCATATTTACGCCTGTCCATTGCGCGCAAATAGAAACGATGTCAAATTAAATTATCCTGTCGATGCCGGATCGTATCGGAAACGTTTCAGAGTCCTGGCAACCAGTGCCCTTGATTCGGGACGAGCAAATTAAGCATTCGTTAACTCGATCGATACGCGCATCGCGAGAAAATTGTTCTGAGTTTTATACCAATTATGGAGGTAGTTCTTGTTAATGGGAATATAGGATAAAGAAATTCTCAGTACTTTTCACTTTATTAGCTTGAATCTCGTTGAGGATTTCACGTTGCGATACGTACACGATGTTGAAGTACGAGTCGAAATAAAGCGAGTTTCGAAGTATTGCGATCGCTTGCCTTAGCGCGACAAATCAGGTTCGGAAGGTATTCATCACGAATTCCCCAAACGTTATCGAATCAAATAGCTTCTGTATCGATCTCGTCCACCTAGGCTTGCAGTTTCTTCATGGGAGGACGGCTTCTAGAATGACTAATGTATAGTTATAATTAAATAAGAAACTCGTCGAGTAAGTTTATCGACCACATTTCCAAACTTCGTCGACCGCGTCCATATATTATAGATAGATAGACACAGACTCTTTTTCCCTCTTATACCTACGATGCAACCCTTTACCCTCTGATCTTTCATAAACTTGAAAGGAAGTTTTTTTTATTGTTTAGTAGGATTAATTGCAAGCAGCGGATTCGTGGAACATACGTGCGCTCGAATTAAATTACCAGAATTACTTTGAGCACTTCTCTTTACTGGATTTGCGAATCGACGTGAGAAATCGATAACCGGGACAAGACTTGCCCGAAGACGCTCCGGTGGATGCGCTTTACTATCGCCCAGCATCCTTTTCTAAACATTTTCGCGGTAATCCTATCGACGCGGATGCGCGTTTTTGTCTTCCCCTTGTACTTTCATGTAGCCGCTAGCTTCATCCTACCGGCTCCACTGTCTGCCATTTTTCTTCTTTTCCGCACAGGCAATAAACGACCGATCCAGGTAGATTGCCTGACGGAGTAAAGGAGATACGTAAACGGATAGAAATGGATAAAGATGGACGTATGCGTATATACAGATACATTGAGAGGGAGTGGGTGGAAAGTGTACAGCGAGAATGAGATGGAGAAAGATGAGGGGGTGAGAGAGAGAGAAAGAGAGAGAGAGCGAATGGGACTTGGGTGAAAAGGAAGGGAGAGTAGGGGCAAAGCAGAGGCGGAGGGGTTCAATCAATAAAATGTCCCGCAGAAACGTTTTCAGCTCTTTACGAAATCTCTGCGTTTTTTCTTTTCGCTGCTTCCGATCTCTCTTGGTCCGTCTACTTCGCCGTGTCGTCCACTTCCATGTCTTTCCGTCACTCTCCAAGCTTACTTCAACGGTATCGCTCTTTGACCGTTGTTCATTGTACTTCGAGTTAAACGTTTTACTTACTTCGGAAAACTTCTGGAAGTTGCTCGCCGCCTTGCTGAAACGATGCCCGACACTACGTGCAGGGGGAAAGAATCTATCCGGCGAATCTCAAAACATTGTTCACGCGTTTGTTACGAGATATACGCATTCTTTTGCATTTTCTCTTTCGAACTGTTACTCAGGATTCACGATTTAGGAGAAAATTTAATAGTAAGTCAAGTAGATTCTATCGTTTGTCGTACAACTACATGATTCTGTCATGAAATAGTCGAAAGCGACTGAAATTAGTGAAAGTTATCTTGGCAGAATGTCCGATTTAGTAATTACGCATGCTGATAATTTGCGAGCAGTTATTGCTGCGTGAGATTCATTAAGTGACACATGCAATGTCTGACCGAGTATTTGCTTTATTTATCAGAAATATGCGATGAGTACCGCTAAGAATACACTGGGTCATCACTTAACGATATTCATATTTAAACGATCTGCAGCAGACAGTCTGCCAAGAAAGTTTTCCGCTATTATCATTGACCGAGGCTCTCTCACGCTCATAGTTTTCAACCTTAATACGCAGAAGCAAGTTGTCCAGAGGCTGCGCAAAGAGGTCGAAACGTTCAAAGCGGAGAATGTGAACGGTGCGAAAGTTTCCATAGCGTCGCTTCTCGGCTTGAATAACAATAATCATATTACAAATAATAATGAGACGAAACTCAAAACTGGCGACAATGACTTCGCTACGAGGAATTCAAAGGAGGACTACGAGGAGATCGTTAGGAACGGCGATGTTCCATCGCTCGCGCAAAATCCCGCGCCTACGAAGTGAGTCTCATGTTTCTGAGCATCGAATATCTCGTGCAAGTCGATAATGCCTGAATTTTATCACGACCGTTGTTTTTAGGGAACGGCCCAATTCGGTGGAAACGATTTCTGGTGAGGATGACGTTATCGAAGTCTCTATGGACGAGAATTCTAACGAGAAGTCCGTGAAGGAAGAAATGGAAGAGGTAGAAGAAAAAGAATGTAAAGTCGATTCACCCGAAAAAATTGAATTTTTAATCTCCCTTGGTCTCATCACTATAACGACCTGTACTGAATTGCAAAATAAGAGGGCTGAGAGGAAACGTCGTAGTACTGCTAACCCGCAATTTGTTTATTCTAGCCTTGAAGTGCCAACGGTAAATTTTAATCAGTTTTTATTTCTTATGTGTCACATTATCATTATCATTATCTGTTATCTTGCCATTTAACTTATTTCAGAAGAGAAAAAGACATTCATATCTACAATCCGGTAATGTTCCTCAAACTCGACAAACGACTGCTCGTATGAACGGCCCCTCGCCACCTCCTGTAAAAGCTGTACCGCCTAAATCCTCTTTAACAACGTCGAGAACAGTGATGAAATCTCTAATCCCAGTACAAAAGTCCGCTACGCGGCCGAATATTCTCAGAAACGTGACAGAGAGCAGAGTCTACTCTAATAAAACCAAAATTGAGAACGGGGCCAGTCAAATGCCTGTACCCACCGTGAAATCCGTTCAGTCGGTTGGCAACAAGGCAGTTCATATACCTGGCTTACCTTCAAGTTTGACTATCGAGAGGATCAGCAGTGATTCAGCAGTCTGTATAAGTTGTAGAAATCCAGGTGCGCGATAAATCTTACTTTGTATCATTTGTACATTGCGTGCCGTTAAACCTTACAGTAATTTTCCATTCTAACAGGTACGCTAACGGTATGCGAGAATTGTGCATCGAATTATCATGTGTCTTGTCACTCTGTTTCCCCGGCGCCATCGAGGATATGTCCCAAGTGCGCGTTAATAGAGGAAGAGGAGATCGATGACGGAGAAGAGGGCGAAGAGGAACACGAAGGAGGACGTCCACTGTTTAAGAAGGACGAAGAATTCGGTAAATCGCCCTTGGTTTTTGAGAAGACTTTTCACTTGTAGTAACCTTGATCGTGTGATTGACAAAAAAGTTCTTGTTTCCTGCAGACACTAGCTTTTATGAATGTTCGTGGCACGCTTATCTCATTTCGCGGCGGCACCATCCGGGATGTATTCGATGTACAGTGACATATTAGTAATTTAAAAAGTAAAATGGAAACCGAAAGTAGAGCAATACTTCTAGTTATGCTCGATAACTAGAAGTTCGTGTACATTTTGGTGTATGCGGTAAAAAAAACAGTTTCACGCGAGAAATAAAATGAAAAGAGTACTTGTAGATAATGCAGACAAGTTGTATGAAAGAAGGGCAGGAAATTGTGTAACATGGGTCCACAATTTCTAGATTTAACGTGCAACGAGGTATCGCAGCGTTGCCGCAGACTTTATTGAGCGTAAGCGCACACAGAGAATAAACGAGAGAGCAGCCTGCCGGAAGAAGTGTCGCGAGTGAGACCGGCTCCTCGAATACAGCAGAAGAATTTGCAATTAAGAAGAACTTTTTGGTCGATCGTCAGTAAATAGGGCACACAAAAAAAGCAACGTGTATTGAACGCGAAATATCTTGCAGAGGAGAAAGAGAGCGAAAGATATGAGCTGCGCAAGCGAAACTCGGATCTGAGATTGCAGGTTTACGAGTTGGAAAAACGCTCACAACTACTTGGCCAGTCCCTTCAGGTTCGTCCTGTGGCCTGCGTAGAAATAAATTCACATTTTTTTTTTATTTGGAATGCTATTCAGTTAACGAGATTATACATACTCTATCTTTTGTTTTTTCATCAATGAGAACCTGCAAGATCTCTACGTATACTTCTTGTTCATGTTCGATTTCTTTTTAAAAGCGTGTCGATTTTCTTATAACGAGGAGAAGTTTATAAACAAATCGGCGCGTTTTATGTTATAATTGTAAAATAGTTTCGATGTTTCTTTACTTTTTGAAGTTACAATATGTATTGCTTGTGTATTTCGTCTTAGTGAGACTAGTTCGAAGATAAGTTTTTATACGGAAACCGTAAAAAACATCGTTTGTATAAATATTATATACCGGAGTCTTTGAAGTCGATACATTGAATTATGTCCTGAGAGCATGTCCTGCATCTTTATCGCGATAATATCAGATACCAGATCGATGTCACTGTTGAGTTTAAATATTTGTGCAGATCTTCGAGCGAGAAAGACACGAATTATTAATTGTTGAATTTTTCTTTCGACAGTTGCAGCAGCGCACGCGTCAGGAATTGTTAGGAAAACAAGAGAAGACGCAGAGATCTATAAAACGGCTTGTGGACTTCATAAAGTTGATGCAACTCAGAAAAAGCGGGGATTCTCCAGCTCCATCGGCATCAGCCAACTTCCCTCTTCAACCTTCCTCATCCCAATCTCCTCCAATTCCGCATCGGCCATCAACCAGTCGGACGCCGGAGTCACCGCAACGGTCAGTGAGCATCGAGAAAATTCCGTGCCCTACTCCTCCATCATCCTTAACCAGTTGGCCCGACCGAGCATCGCCTATATCGAGAGAGCAGAGCCCCAAGTGTCCTATGCCTACCAGCTACCAGTCACCAGTGTTCAATCAGAGAAGCATCAATCGTACCTTATCGTCAAGAAGATCACCGAACCAGCTAGAGGGGCAAGTCAGTCTTCCGAAGACCAAAGTCACGCCAGAATGCTCAACTACAAACTGCCAATCACATCAGGCTACAACTCTCCACAGACCGAAATCTCTGTCGCCAACTCCTCAATGCTTGTTGGTAAGCAGTTGCTCGACGGTGTCGGTCGTAACCGTAAGAAGCAAACAAACCGCGCCGTACCCGCCCTCAACCGTATCATCGACACAGAGAATCTCTCCATCACGGCCGAGTACCAACTGGAGCGATCGACTTTCAACGGTAGAAAGTCCCGAACCAGACAACCACGAAACAAATACGGTATCAATCAGCTGCGATCTGCCAGAGCCACAGAAATCCTACTGCCTTCCTACGATAGTACAGAACCCGATAAGCAGTTACAAATTACAAAGTCGACCGAACCAGACGAAGCAACCCTGCTCGGTGGCCGTACAAAGTACCGACCAAGAACCGGTAGCTTTTTCCACACATTGTTCTCAGGCCATAACAAGTCCTATATCCTCACCGATAGTTCTCGAGAGTCACGAGACCTCGGAGCAGCTAACAAAGATTCCCCAACCGGCCGGAAACAGTTGCATAATCAAAGCTACCAGTTGGAGTCCGGCGAACGAAGTGAACCTACGGTCCAAGTGCAACGAGGTGCCCTCACAAAATTCTTCGAGCACGTGAAATTGGAAGAAGCGCATATACCAGCGCCACCTAGAGCAAAGTTAGTATACAAAAGCGGTACTGCTTCCGAGAGGAATGAACTTGAAGTTACGGAAATTGCGGACGATGACACGAATAGCAATGAGTACGTCAACAAGACGCCGCCCTTATCATTCGGTAACTTCAGCGATGATGTCGCCGATCAAGAGGTCAAACAAAAGAATTGGCTCTCGAAGAAGATAGCGAATAAGGGGCAAGAGAACCCGACTACGAGCGCGGAAACGCTCGATTCTGCTTCAAATTCGACGAGATCGAACGACATAATCCCCTACGAGTGCGATGATGATGAGGACGACAACCTACTGACTGACACATTTCAAGCTGACGTTACTTATACGAGACGTATAGAAACCTTGACGGAGATCGTGTCGAAGAACCAAGAGGATCGGCAGGACTCACCGTCAGTGTGTAACGCACAAAGCAATTTCTTGGAGCTTCGTAACGAGGTCTCAGTTCCTGACGATAAGGCTGATTCCGAGAGACAAGACTTATCCAGTGGCAGACGCTCGACCAGTAGCAGTAGCGGTAATAGCGCAAGCGACAGCGATACCCCGGAACAAGCAATGGAAGACTCTATTAAGTACTCTCGGGGACAATTAACCGAAAACGAATACAATGAGCGTCTAGGTATTCGTGCTGTATCATCCGAGAGTATGCAAGTGCTCGAGCAGTACGAATCTGCTGTACTGGAAACTGGTTGTAGCAACGCTGCCACTTGTTAGAGTTAATAAGATTAGAATGCGGTATTAACGTACTGATTATGTTTACTGCTAACAAAAACTTTTCTTTCTGTTTTCGTCAACAAACTTGATCCTTTCTTGGATTCTTAAGATTATTTTCTTTCATTTGAAGAGTCACGTTTCGGGAAACAGAAATATTTCCGGACTAAATTTCGACCCGTACATATTCAGTGCTGCATTTGAATCTGTTACTTATCTAGGATTCCTAAAGGGAAACGAGCATCTGGTTACTCGTAATCGTTACTGAGCTTCATAGGCAGTCCCTACTTTCTATACTCCCTTCAGAAACGTAGCAATCGTTTCGTGTATCGTCAAGTCAACCGCGACTATGACGATACACCATCATCGTTTCACTTTATAGAGATATAAAATTGCCTCAATATTCTCTATTAACTCTGTTACCTACTTTATTTATTGATTGTTGTTCATGAGATTCTGTTTTTTCCGAACTTTTTGTATGTAATTACCTGATCACAAGGACCAAGTTTGAACATTTGTTCTAATCGAATCATACTGTTTGACGAGAAGTTAACGGGAATCATGAATTATTTGCGCAACCTTGCAGAATTGTATACACTGAAAGTTTCCTCAGGAAGTTGATGAAAGGATTATGAATAACTGTGCATATAGTAAAATTATGTATGTAATCGTTTTACTGAGTTTTAAAAGATTTTTAAAGGTCGTTTCATTGGTATTTTCAATTTTGATAAGTAGAAAACACGCACATATCCGACAGATAGTGGACGATCAGTGAAGAGTTAGAAAGGCTTGAGGGAAAGCCTGTTGTACGTAATTCGAGTCATATTACCATACTGCCTTAATAGTAATTTAAAATCGATACTTTTTACAATAATTTCTTATGGATAAGCTCGAGAAACGTGTATGACTCAATAGACTGATTTGGATGTCGCCACATTGAAATTAAGACGAATCATGTGGAAGAAAGAAGATAATCAAAACGCGTTACCGTAATCGAAAACCTAGGCGCTAATGTTGCGTGTACTTTGAAAAAAAGTAGATAAAACGTTATTAAAGCAACTTGCAATCTTCTTTTTATGATTAAGATAGTTTCTTGCGAACAGGATATAAGAAACAGAATCATTTCTTGTTTTTTTTTTTTATTGTTTTATGTCGAGGTGAATGCTTCGATGTAATGAATTATTTGTAGCGTCTCATTCATTGAAATTCGTGAGCATTTCCTTCGATAAATCGATGCAGCAGTATTCACTATATTTTAACTCCACGGTATAAGCGGGTGTCTTTCATCAATTAGATTGTGCCGAACATAACGATTTATGTAGCGGTGAATTAATCAGCGACGTCACCACGCCGAGCTAATTTGCTCGATTGAAAATTGGACGTTAATTAAGCAGTCGGGTTCTATTTATTCCGTTTTCGTTTTTCCTCTTGCGGTAATTACCGCCAGCTTGTCCAATATATTTAACTAGTGTATAAAACGGAAAAAAAAGAAGAAATTGTTACGTAATGTAGGCAACGAGATTAAGATCGAAATTCGTATTTTTTATGAATAAAGTGAAAGTGAAACATAGACTGTAAATGATTCACGTTTCCATTTGTTATTAATTTGTTTTCGAACAATTCGCGTATACGATGGGCCATCGCATTCTGTAGATCGAGATTAATCAATAACACCTCGCAGGGAAATGATTTTTCTCGTCACAGAATTTTTCAGACCGTAATAACTTTTATTTCGTATATTGACAGACAACGGTGGTTGAGCAGAAGGGGAATTCCCGACTCGGACAAACACTTGGCTAATGATATGTAAATATGGCGGAGCTAATCAAGCGGCTGTGCCAACAGGATGCAAGAAGAGATCGGTAGTGCCGCGCGAGTGTTCGATAGCCAATGCATTTGCGCCGGCCCGCACACACGTATCGTGGCACAGTAACTCGCGTACATATTTAATGGTCGCACGTTAATTGCGCTCTGTTTGCCCATTCCCCATTCTACCCTCCATTCCCGTACCCTACCATCCCCGGTCTCGTCACCCTTTCTCTATCCGCGCTTCTCCTTTGTTAGTTTCTGCCAGAGTTTAATTTTCACCAATTTATCTCGGACGGGCCCGATCGTTTATCATCGAAATCGCACGTAAAACGGGATGACTGATCGCTCTGCATCTTTCACGATATGATTTCCAAACGCTCGATCGCGCCGCGGCTGATAGGAACAGTCATATCCTTCTCTTCGTCTATCCTATATTTAGAACGGGAACGGTTTTCCTAAACGCGATAAGTGGCGGAAGTGACGCCGCGTCGGAATCAAAGATAGAGTCGCTTCGCGAGACGAAGTTACCACGCGATTGTTGAATTTCTAATTCACAGAATAGGTACGAACGCCAGGTGGAGGAGCGCCGGCGTTACGCGCTCGCATGTGAAATTCAAAACGAAAGCGGAGCTCACGCTTCCTGCGTGGGTCGGACGGGCACATATTCGCTTCCTACGATCGATCAAATCGTTACCCCGTAATAGAATGTGTGCAGCGAAATATAACCACTCGCAGAATCATCGATTAGAAACCCGCTGCGGGTAGACCTATTGTATCGCCGCGGGAAGCAATCTTCTCAGGGAATGATAAAGGCATTTCCAGTCATCGTTCTTTCAAACGTTTCGCATTAAATTCACCCGCTTTCACGCTACTTTTCATCGCAAATGAAAATTAACATCCTTTGTGTCGGTTTCAAAAGTGGGCTTTATTTCATTTAAAATATGGCCAAATTTTTACGGTACTTAAGCTAATTAGATATTTACTGCGACTGCTAATGCGATTATTCTTCTGGCGGAGTAGATAATGTTCAAAGTAAAACGGATTCAAGTTTTGATCTCATTGAGTCGAGATAAGCAAATTAACGAACTTGAAAACAATATCAGTCCTTTGCCGATTGATATAACATTCGCAATACGTATGAGAGAATGATATCTTTTTATCGCACCGGGAAATTACAGTGTCCTCAATAATTCTTTGTTAATAGTGGTCGGCAGTCAAGCAAAATCTACTTAGAAAATCCTCATCAATTTTACGGTCGGATGGATTTTAATTACAAATGAGTTAACGAGAAGCAAACAGTATAGCTATCGTGCACAGGTCATTGAACTTGACTCATCGTAAAGAGAAAATCATTCGTTATCCTCGGTCGGGAGTCGATTTTCGGGTAGACTGGGCTCACAGAGAGGAAAAAAGGAAAACGGATTTCCGCGCGTCGAGATTTACTTGCATTTATCGCGTTCCATTACTGTCGATAGGGCGAACCGATCGACCATCAGGAACGTCGCCACCGCTGACCGGCATCGGCCGGTCCCAATTAAAAGCTCCTCATCGTCGCTCCGAAATTGATATCCGGAAACAAAAACGCCAATTCCAGGCGTCTACTTCGCGCTGTTACGTGCACGCGTGTTCCCGTTTCAATACGTTCGTACCGGGCGACCGGGCGTACGCGTAGTGTGCGTCGCGCGTTCTTGCCCGGTAGCACACGTACTTACGCACACGCTGCCAGTCTTGGAAGTGTTAATTGACCGCTGCCGGTAATTATACGGTTGATCGCAATTAAACATGGCAATTTCGCGAAACGAACGTTCAGGTTTTATGTCGAATTAAAACCTGCACCGTTCGCGAAGTAAGTACCGTATGTTGTTCTTTTTTTCCTCCCCGAGCTCGAAACGCGGAGCTCTGACACGTTTCATTAGAAACGAGCCGAACGTTTCCCGTCGATTTCTCGTTTCCTCGCGGAACCCGTCGCATCGTCAATGTTCGCAATAATTGCCGTGCGGCGATCGAATTTCAGGCATTAACGTTCGTCGTTAATCATTACGGGCCGCCGAACCCAAACGATCCCTTTGGTTTTCAGCGATCTAGCATAGGTATAGCGGTAGCGTTGGCGTAGGTAAATGCATTCGGGATTCTAGTCGTGTCGCGACGTTATTATTCCGTCGCGATGTGTAAAACTGGTTGACGCTTCGTAAACCTCGATTTCACGCCTCGTCGACCTCTAATTAATGCACTAGGAAATTGTTATTCCGTTACGTGCACTCTACGTTCTATGCATTATTTCGGATAGCTGATCGTAACGTCCGCCCGTGTCCAACTATGCCCTTCACCGTCCATTTACCTTTCGCGTGGCATTAATCGTTCTTTCGGTTACGGATGTGCGCGCGGACGTTCGACCAATCCTCCGGTTCGTTCGTCCCATTGAAACGCAACTTGGTAAAATTTTTATTACACGTCCTCTGCTTCGCGCTTCAATCCAGACGATGCTCGTCAATTATAAAATGGTTGCAGAGACGTCGCGCGTGATTCTGTATTCGCCGCGGTGTTCGCATCGAGCGACCCGCGATTCTAATATCTGATCCTTCGACGGGATTGACCGCGGGCACACACTGCAGATGTAGAAATGAAGTTCCAATCGGTGCGGTTCATAAAAGAATTCTATAGGATCGCAGGTGATCCTCGCGTTCGATTGGATCGACTGTAGCCACATCTGTCTGCTCGTTAAATCTCTCCGCCACGCGTTCGAATGAATCTAGACGGGGCTGAAAGTTTGTAACGACGGAACTTTCTGGCTTCGGTGGCGATAGCCGTCGCACCCCGCCAGCCCCCGTTCACCAGTCATGATAATTTATCGGAATTGGTCGAATAATTACTCGACGGACGACGACGTCGCGCCGCGATTGTTCCTTAACTAGACTACGCGAACAAACCGTCAGGCTGCTACGGTTGCAATAAGGGAGTGCGCGCAGAGGGTGAGATCTAGAGGTAGCGATAACGCGCGATACGTGGTCGCCTTTATAGACACACTGTCGGTTTCTTCTAATTTCAAGTTTCTGGGAACAACTCACTCGAAAATGTCCTCGTTTCATTCATCATCTGGCGCCGTGCGCGCGGCTCGGCTGCGGAGCGTAACAGGCGAGCAGGTAGACAGACAGGATGGGTTGGCGCTGCTACCTCGTATACGTGGATGTAATGCATGCTAAACATGTCAGGTAATTAACGTGGGCATTACACGTATGCTGCCACCCCTCCGCTTGCCCCTCTAGTTCCCAGTTTCGTGCACTAATTACAGCTAGCTATAATACCAACCAATCGAACGGAGTCTGAAGTTCGTAACTATGATCGTGAAAATGGGCGAACCCGTGCACAATCGCTGTTTTAGGGTGCTAGGATCTTCGGCAATTATTTTCGGCTAACCATAGATCACTGAGTGATAGTATTCTATAGTCACTTTAGTCAAATGGTCAATATCTGATTTACGTATTGGTTACCTCCATTTTTTCCCTGACTAAATGATAAATGAGATTCGGCGAAGGCAAAGGGGAGAGAAAGTATTGGATTTGTTGAGAAGCTACGGGCTACTGAATCTTTTTCAATCCCCGCGAAATGTGGGCTCGTTTAATGACACGGCTAGATTTAATGGTAATAGTTTGTTAAAACGAATCCGGGACGATGACGTGTCCTGTAGGAACCCGCATAGGTTCGCGAGAATTTCGACGAGAAGACGCATAGAGGGGGAGAACCGCGTACACCGTGTATGAGGGTTCAAAGAAATTCTAATCGAGATACAGCTGCCGGTCCTGTGACAAATTACACATACGGGTCCCATTACGCGAGAGGGCAATCGAAAATCTTGCTAGCGCCTCTGGTCAAAGCTTTATTTGAGAAAAATTCAGTAGCCTCTGCGAGTGAAGTACGTGAATAAAGTTTATCAACGAATTTCTATAGTCTTAGTTTAGAGGAGGAACGTTTGTCTGATTTGCTGTGATGGAGGGGTAAAGGAAAGCCGAGGGAGAAATAGAGACGACGCATCTTTTACAATCCTTTAACGATGATACATTGCTCAGAGGTTTCCCAGTGGCCACGGGTCTAATCACGTTACTGTCACTTAAGGATGTATAGGCTATACACGTAAACAATGCTAGCATGTTGAATTTGTTATTATAGATTCCTATTACTATTAAAAAGCTACCTGCAAAATTTCAATTCATGGATTTTTTGAAAAATTATAGTGACTTCAAATTTGCATGCACTCTTATTACAAAGAAAACTTTCTGGTATTT